CCTTTGTTGTTCATTTTGCGGTCATACCGTGTTTTCATCTTCTCAGACGTTTGCTGGCCCGTCTGTCTGACGTGCTCATAAATGTCATTCATTTTGTTCCGCAAGTCATTTGCATAATCGGTTATACTGCGTGGGGCATCAGGTGGTATTCCGTTGATCAGGTCTGCAGGCAGCCGTAATTCTCTCCCAAAGTTTGCGAAAGCTGGTGTCACTGATGTACTTTCGTGAACAGCGCTTCGATATGACAACAAAAACGGTTGTATGTGCCTGTCCCAGTCTCGTTGCCGTTTTTCCACAACTTTTGCTAGGTACCTCTCCAATGTCTGATTAAATCGTTCTACCATTCCATCAGATTGTAGATGGTAAGAAGTTGTTCTTGTTTTATGAGTACCCATAACACGGAAAGTTTCCTGGAATATTTAAGACTCAAAATTCCTTCCTTGATCGCTGTGAATCTCTAAATGTACTCCAAAACGACAGAAGACTTCATGAACTAGTTTATCTGCAATTGTTGAAGCTTCTTGATTTGGAATGGCGAAGACTTCTTGCCACTTAGTGAAGTAATCCATCACAACCATGAAATACTTGTTACCACTTTCACTTTCCGGAAACGGCCCCGCAACGTCAATGGCTATCCTCTCCCATGGTGCACCAACATTGTACAATTTCAATGCGCCTCTACTACGAATTTGAGGTCCCTTTACAGCTGCACAACTTGTACATTTGCAACACCAGTCCTCGATATCGTCACGACAGTGGACCCAGTAAAACCGTTCTCGGATCTTCAGTAGAGTTCATTTAACTCCCAGGTGACCTCCTGAACAACCACTATGGTACAGCTGTAGAACATCTGGTACTTTAGCCTTAGGGACAACCATTTGCAAATGACATCTGTCTCCCCGACCATTTTCCCATTTACGGCAAAGGACTCCATCTTGAATCAGCAAGCTGTCCCATTGGGCCCAATAGCTTTTCGTGGTCGAACTCATTGCTGAGACGTCGCTTCACTTGGGCTTAGGAGCACTGGCTTTCATCCACTCCAGAATCGGCTTAATGTCCGAATCTTCCTGTTGTGCATGTGGTAGGCTGTCCTTCCACTCATTGCTGAGCTGGTCTGTCTTGAGTATCCTCACAGATACCACTTCCTTACCCTCTTGCCTAGTACAATGCATGCAATCTTCAGGGCAAGTTCTTCTTGACAATGCATCTGCATTGCCATGAGATTTCCCGCTGCGATGTTCGATCACAAAGTCGTATTCCTGCAGTAGTTCGATCCATCTCGCAACTTGTCCTTCCGGATTTTTGAACTGCAATAGCCGTTTCAGTGCAGCATGGTCAGTTCGTAAGTGGAATTTCCGCCCCAGAAGATATTTGCTAAAATGCTGCAAGGACTTTACCACAGCAAGCAATTCCCGTCTTGTGATACAATAGTTCCTTTCCGGCTTTGAAAACGACTTGCTGAAGTACGCTATCACAATCTCTTGATCACCATTCCGTTGAGACCACACACCGCCAAGTCCTATATCACTTGCGTCTCTGTCAATTATGAATTCCTTGCCCGCATCAGGGTACCCCAAAATAGGTGTTTTGCACAGACGGTTCTTGAGCTCCTGGAATGTAATATTGCAACTTTCATCCCAGCAGAAATGTCGCTTCTCCTCGGTTAGCCTGTGCAGAGGTTTGGCTATATCTGCAAAGTTCTTCATAAATCGCCGATAATAAGAGCAGAAACCCAAAAATGCTCTAACCTTTGTCTTGTCTTTTGGAACCGGCCAGTCCTTGACAGCGGCAATTTTCTCTGGATCCGTGCGGATACCTTCCTCCGACACTACATACCCCAAAAAGCTAACTTGCCGTTTGAGTAGTGAGCACTTCTTCGGACTGAACTTGAGGTTGGCACTCTGGATCTTCATGAGCACGCGTTCCAGGTTTTGAAGGTGATCCTCAAACGTACGACCTACGATGATGGTGTCATCCAAATAGACCAGACAGTCATCTCCAATTAGACCGTTAAGTACAAGCTCCATCAACCTTTCAAACGTTGCTGGAGCATTGCACAATCCAAACGGCATGACTTTAAATTGCCATAGACCCTTTCCTGTGGAGAATGCAGTTTTCTCCTTGTCCTTAGGGTAAATTTCAACCTGCCAGTAGCCACTTTTCAGGTCCTGCGTACTAAACCACTTTACGCCTGTAAGCATGTCCAGCGTGTCATCAATTCTTGGCAAGGGATAGCTGTCCTTCTTCGTAACATCGTTCAGACGGCGGTAGTCAACACAAAACCGCATGCTGCCGTCCTTCTTCTTTACCAGCACCACAGGTGAACACCATGGACTAGATGAAGGTTCAATAACACCATCCTTCACCATTCCCTCAATCATGGTTTCCACTTCCTTTTCACGTGCTACAGGCAATCTTCTTGGCGCGATAGGAACGATGATCCTGTCGCACGGCTTCCACCTCCAGTGCATGGGCCAACGCTTCCTTAAACGTCTCGTGGTGCCCGAGCCTATCAGCAGCTCTGACTTCAAGGTCGCGGATGCCGTCGATGAATGTCTGCACTAGGTTCCCTACAATGAGCACAGGTACAGACTGGTGCGCTTTTCGAACCAGCTTCTCCACCTCAAGGGCCCACTGCTGCAGGTTTTCGTTACTGCGTTGCACGGGATCTTTGAGCTGCGCACGAAAGACGTGTTCCAGGTGAGCGTCGCCATATCTCGCCTCCAATGCCTCAAGGAGCTGCTCGTAAGTCACTTTCTTACCGAGAGCTTCCAGAACAGATAAAGGCCTGGTCTCGCAGGTCTAGGGTGAGAGCAGTCATGGCCTGACTTTTATTCCAGCCGTTCGCTTTCATGACAGTCTCGAACTGGATTTTGTAGGCCGACCAGGAAGAAGTCCCGTCGAACGGTGGCACTTGAATCCACGTAGCGAAGGTGTTGTAGCTACCACGGGAGCTGTAACTCCATCCCCAATTTTGAGGTCGTCCAGCGTTTTCTTCACGTCAACCATCACGTTGTCAACCCGATTTTTCACTTGGTCGATTTGGGTTACCGCTTCCGACAGGTGGTTGTCATGTTGAGCAACCCTATCCTTCACCTCCTTTATCTCTTTCCCGAAGGTAGCGTGAAGGTCCTTCATGAGGAGCATCTGCTCTTCCTTATCGTGTTTGAGCTGCTTTTTCAAGCAACGGGCCTGTTCCTCCTGTCCGCGCTGCAGCTGCTCTCCCAACCGATGGACCTATTCCTCCTGTCCGCACTGCAGCTGCTCTTCCAACCGACGGGCCAGTTCCTCCGGTCGGCGGGCCTGTTTCTGCAGCATCATCATCAGAGCACCTAAGTCAGGTGCTGCAGATGCAGGAGCTGCTGACGGGCTGGCCTCCGTGTTCGGCAACTGATCTTCCGACGTCTGCGACGTTGCACCACCAAATCGTCTCTGGTCCGTCTCCAGCTGGCGTTGACTTCGGGTACGGATACCCTCCATGTCGTCCTTTGGTAAATCGGCATGATGTGATCCCACTTCTGACACCAATTGTTACGAGCTTGAGGTTCGAGAGAATTAAAAACTGCCGATTGAATTACCAAAATTGACACTTTAATTACGGATACTAATTACACCTTAAAACACACTAATAATAAAACACAATAATTCTACTGATCACTTAAGTTCGCAGTTGTTTCGCTTCGAAGTATTCTCTTGTATCGCCAATTCAATACTGCCTTCGTCGTGGTCTATACCGGCCTTATATAGGGCCTCAGCTAGTTTCCAGAACCTTCTACTGTAGCGACATCTAGAATGTTCGAGTACATATCGGTCCCGACATTTCTGGAAGGATCTTGACTCTCTAGTTCTGCTACTCGACACTAGAGGGCGCTACTGTAACTAGTGTTGCCATGTACAAGACAATAATAGGTGGCGCGCAACAGTATTTATTTTTGGAACGAAGTTTTGGAACGTAGTTCCTTATCGGACGGTACGGGTTTGGCGGATGGGAGCTAGGCGACAAAAAAGGCCTTGGCGGCGAAATAAGGAAGTGAGATGGAATAATATCCATCTCCCTCGCACTTTTTCTTATCTTGCCATGAAAGAAATATTATTTTATTTCAAATGACGCTTCATTTTAATAGACGCTAGTAATTCATTTATTTGTATTTGTTAATCAATAATATAATGCCTACGTTTATCAATAATAATATACTACGCGAGGAACTTCGTTCCAACCGAGTTTTCCACGACACTCACGCATTTTTTATTTAATACCCTTACATAATTGATATTAATACAAGGAATATATTTCATTTTAATACAATTTTATCTTGCTTAATTTCTTGGAACCTTTCATAGTAACAAAGAACTCATAAATTTAAATATCCGGAAAAAAGGAAAATGCTTATGACATTATTTTAAAAGAATGTAACCGATGCATTGTTTTAGAATAATGGATTCCTTTTTAGCAATAATTTAAAATTAAGAATTTTGTACAGCCGACTTCAATATGAGTTATTAAGAATAACTCAAAAACTATAGGTCTGACCTTGATCAAATTCATATGGGACTACACGAGAAGTACCAGCTTTCAAATAAAAAAAGAATCATCCAAATCGGTTCACTCAGTAAAAAGTTATGAGGTAACACACATAAAAAAAACATACAGTCGAATTGAGTACCGTCTCCTTTTTGGAAGTCGGCAGAAAAGAAATCGGATATTATTACGAATAAAGATCAATATGTTATGTCATTCAAGCCCTGCATCCCAATTTTGATTACGGTCCGTAATTTTACTGTAATCGTGTAGTTCTATTGCCGATAAACATCGTTGTCTGGAAGACGAATCGTCGCCTACATTCGGAAGGGCATACGAGAAGTTTGTATTTAAAAATATTGCTTACACCACTAAAATACGGTTGAATGTTGGTGTAAAGAGATGAACCGGGGCGCCCGGAGCTGAGATGCTGTGTGCGCGCGCACCGTAAAGCGGCAGGCTTGTTCGGGCCGCAGTCGGAATGAAGCGCGCGCGGAGTGTCACGGGGCCGCTACGGCGTGCCCACCCCGCCTCGGGAGCCACCTGGAACGTCCAGGTACTCTCACCGCTCACGCTACGATCTCACACTAATTGAAAGAAGACACGGGCGTCACAAGAACCATCGAAATGAAGAAAAAGCTACTTTGAACTAAAACATGTCGGGCTTGTTCGCTGCCAGGAAACCATTCTTTAAGCAATAAAAAATATATCGTTTTTTTTTTATAATTGTATGTTAAAAGCTGTACACTCAACAGTTGGCAGAGTACTTGTTGCGCACGCAACTCACTTGGATGAATACATTAAAACTATTATCATCCGCGTAAGTGATGGATGAATAGGAACTGAATTGGTCGGTATTTATTTTTCGTACTCCTTCTTAGCAACGTTCGATTGCTTAACGCTATTACAGGATTCCTAGTGCAATGCGTATATAAGCTATATAAATAATAATAATATTCAGACAAATCATTCAAATATAATAATTCTTAATAGAAACTTTGCGCAAGTAGAGATCTCATATTTTACAACAATAAATCAAGTGCCATAAATAAAGTCACCACAACTTAAATTCCGTTTATAATATTTACTAAATACCATTGAAATATATCTAATAAATAAGTGTAACCGATAGCGTAAGTTTTCTTTTTGTGGTGTCATTCACACGAATAATTTAAAATAATTATAAATTTATTTTAAATCTTTTCTTGAATCTACTTGCAATAGACTGTAATGACGTTGACAGCAAACGTAAGATTCCGGACGAATTAAAAACTTACTCTTAAATGGAGTACAAATGCATATTACTTTTATACTCTTATTATTACAGTTTATATTACTATATAATTATGCCTGTAATCTTCAGTAGACTTTAAAATCATTTTATTTATTAATTTAATAATTAATTAATTTAATATTTAATAACATGACATAAAATTTTTCTTTCTTTCAGGTGGTCCGCGGGAAAATGAGTTCGCAGTGCCTGTGGCATGCATGTCGCGCGCTTTCTGCAGGCTTGTTGCTAATGGTACTCGGCGCCGCCATGGCAGTCATAGGTATGTGCAAAGGTATACAATTTCAGTAAGAAATAATTGAAATTAAAATAATTTCTTCATCAAAAAACTAAAAAGAATATAACTATCAACATATCGGTTGCGTGGTGGAGATTTATTCGCCCATATGTTGTACAGATGCCTTTGCAAATTGAAGAGTTTGAAGATTTTTTTTGTTAGAAAATTATTAAAATCGTACAACGTAGTATAGAATTATGAATTATACAACAATGAAAGAACGAACAACAATAACACCGAACATACATAAAAAATATTCCGAGGATTAGAGTACCTTTTTGAAGTCTGGTGCGCAAACTTTAAACGCAGCTTCACGATTTAACATGTCTAGAAATTGTTATATATCGCAGGCTAGCGTTTCTATCACTGTGGGGAATGTAATAATTTTACGGGAAAACACCATAATACATTAAATACACATTTCTTCCTCTTCCCGTTTCATTGGCCTCCCCGATACATTGTCTCATAGGGTTTGTTTGATATAATTGCCCGCTTGGCAGGCGGCGCCTGATTCGGTTTCCCTCTGTTGAACGGGATGATTTTGGGTAGTAAGTAAGTAGATTTTTTTTAATCAAATCAATAAAACTACTTTTACGGATTTTATCGCGTTTAATTAAGTTATTTTATATTCCCGACGTTTCGGTTGCTTTCCAGAAATATAAAATAACTTAATTAAACGCGATAAAATCCGTAAAAGTAGTTTTATTCAATGTGTAGTGTTCGCGTAAATATAAGAAATCATTAATCAAATCAAATCAAAAATATTTGTTTCATGACTACAGGTAAAATTAAATAAGATCTTAAAATTATTGTATGTACATTTGTGCTTCATAGTATACCTATATCAATGGACAATAATTAAGTTTTAAATATTCAATATCTTTAATAAGTATATTTTTATTAAATTATTATTACAATATGTTACGTCAGTTTTATATACTAACAATAACTTACGGATTTATATTTTTTATTATAATTTTGTTTCAATTATCAATAATTCGTTTGAATTATTTAATTAGTAAATCTAACCACTAAATATAACATTAAATTATTTAATCTTTTTCGTCCATGAATTCTTCACGGCCTTCTAACTTTTTAAATTTTGTCATTCATATTTTTAAATAGTCAGGAAAATTTTAATGACATTGCAGTAAATACTGCCGTATTTAAGTATATTCAAGTATCATTGTCACATCATTACTACAGCTCATCACAGGTCTACTGCTGAACATGGGGCAAGCTTGAGACACCTACAACTATCAACTTCCTATATATCTTACGAGGTTGTAAATTCATTTCGTAGAGGACCGCCCTACTCTTTGCTTACTATTATGAGGCTGCCAATTGAGAAACCTTTGCTACTTCTAGCATTTCGTTTATGGTGGACAGCCTCAAAAGGGACTAGCCATCTGCGCAGGACTTGAGTATAGTGTACACGTACCTATTGAAAAAAGCCTACTCCTTTCTAAAAGGCGGGAAAGGCACCTGCAATTTCCATGGTGTTGGAGATATTCATGGGCGACGGTGATCACATACAGTCAGGTGTACCGTATACTCGGGGGTACCTCCGCTTCTATAAGGACAGATGCACTCTATATTCCCGATCTCATAATTCAATGGAACGGCAATCTGACACGACAGGAGAGTGTTCAGGCGCACTACCAACTCCTTTACGTGCTTTACGAGGGTAAAACACCATCATTTTCTTGGCTCCGGGCTACTACAAAAATTTCTTATCAGGAAAATAACTGATTTTGGTCCGACCTGGAATATGAAACACACACACACCATGACCACATGTCGTGTCATCAGCAGTCGTGAGTACGACTCTTAGACCAACGAGCTAATGCGGAGTTTTTGTGTTTTACGATTTAGACAGACAGGTAGCGTTTTAAAAAAAATTGGCATTTGTATCGTATACTACAACTACAATTTAAATTTAAAAAAAATGTACAGAATTCGTCCTCTTAGGCCATTGAAGTAATATATGTATTTACGTATAGTACATATTTCGTCAATATCTAAGGCCAGTATTCAAATGCAATGTTATGTTTGAACTTCAACTCTATATTGTCAAAGTTCGAATATAGTCTAATATCTCCTTTTTTAGGGATCCGTAGTTAAATATCAAGGAATTAATTATAGTATGGTCCGTCCGCCCGTCCGCGGTTTTACTCAGAGACCCTAAATGCCATAAAGATGTAATTTGGCATAGTTATAGATATCACGCCTACAAAGTTGTGAAATAAAATATTAAAAAACATTTTTATTTCGGGTACCGCTATACAGATGATTGATTTTTTAACCCGTCTATGATGGAATAGACGGGTTAAAAATGCAGTAATGTTGGGTGTTGTTGGATAGGTCTTTCAAAAGTATTGCGGGTATGGAACAACATTTTTTTGATTTTGGGGTCTGTTTGCAAAATATTTAGCTTAAAAGTGGTATTTTTTATTAGAGTCATATTTCGTAGAGGAAATATCTCTAAATCATATAATCAAAATAATGTATTTCATCAACGAAAAATTGAAAAGAAATGTAACATTATACTGATGTAACTAATTCTCCAGCTAGAAATTGTCAGAATAAGTTCATTAATTTATGTATAAATTAAATAACTTTTAATTTCTACATAAATTAATGTAGCCACTTAATATTGGCTTATGTACAGTGAAGCACGTTGTGGGCAGAGGTTGAAGAGCTCTTAATGAAGGAAGCGACTCGTGCCCTACAGCCAGATAAGTACATGTATTTTAGTTACCGTCGCCATTACTAAATCGAGTTTGACTCTATTATGTCAAGTATATTTTTATTTCTTCGTTAATTATATAAAATTACAACCAATATACGTCTCACAGCTGAGTACAGGCCTCCCCTCACATCTTAAAGTGTTTAGATCAAAGAAAATGTCCGACGCGCTGCCCCAATGCGTGTTGGCGAACTTCACATGTCATCGAAATATTTTTTTTATTTCGCATACATGCCAGTTTCCTCACGATGTTTTCCTTCACCTCCGAGTATTTAATTATCAAGAAGTAGAGCGAGTTAATTGTATGTGGAAAAAAATTCCTAAATATTTTCAATAGGAATTTCTAATACGAGCGGATTTTCTGGATCGATGCGATTGCGACCCTGACAATGGGCGACGGTAATCACTTACTATTACATGAACGTCATGGTCGTTTGCATTATGAAAAATAGTGCCATCATCTACCTAATAATATAATCTCATTGTTTTTTTATTTAAGTATAATTATAAATTTTCCCAACCTCAGATAATAAAAATTCTGTTTAATTTTTTATTACAAGTTTTTAATTTAAGTACAAGGAAAGTTTATAAAAAATATACGAAATAAAACGTACCATAATATTCTGTACAATACTCTTGAGCTCTAGAAAATAGAAGGTAGGTAATCATTAGCAATCATTATTTATACGTCACGGAGATATAAACAGAGCTTAGCGGTAGGGGGAGCTTTTACAAGCGAGCGTTCCGTTCCTGACACTTCCGGCTCCATGCTTCCGGTTCGCGCTGATGGAACTGCATATATGTGAATGTGAGGCTCATTACAGATCACGCGATGCAATCTATATTCAGTTTTATTTCTCTCTCACTCAAAAAATAAAACGCACTTGATCAAATTTTATAATCTTTAAAGTCAAAGTTATAAATACAATACAGTTTTCAGTTTCGCTAGTTTCAAGCTCTTAACATCGAATTACTTATATATTATTTCATGCACTTATATACTTAATAATTAAATCTGTGTACATTATCTCTGTTTACGTAAAGGATAAGGAAATAAAAATATGTATATATACACATATATGTAATAATTTACTAAAACCCACGACATATGATATTAATTTACCTGTAACAAAACGTTTCATGATTTTATTTTTAATATTTGGTAATTTTAAGTAGCAAATAATTATAGGTGTAATTGTAATTGATTTTTCTTCTATTTTTTTTCTATCGCATACAAAAAGAGCACGTTAGAACTATAATATATACTTACTGCAACTAATTTAATATTAATGTATAATTCGTTTAGCTCTCGAAAGAGAAAATTTATCAATGAATTGTGTACGAATGTTAAATCTGTTTTTTGTAGTATGTACATATATAACGAGGTACCAAAAGACATATTTAACGAGGTACAAAAGTAAATCGGAGTTTTCGATATTCTTTCATTAAAATCAACATAGAAAAAAAAATGAAAGTATGAAATAATATTTTAGGATACTATGCGGATACACTATCAGTGGCGCAGGAAATACGGGGAAATGCTACAGTGTCGGTGAAGGACGAGGCCCGCGGATTCCACTTGAACAACTTATCATACGCCGGACCTATTGTCATGGGATTTGGAGGTAGAGTCACTTTTTTGTATTGAATTAGAATGTACATATTTTTTTGATATAAAATTGTAATAAATAAAATTACAGCCTACCTGATGAATTGGCTTCTGTAACCATACGCACCTCATTCAATTTTAATCAAAGAAGGTTACAGGTGCGTGACCACCTCTGAAAAGTAAGATAAAATGCCACACAGCCTGCAAAAATATTGGCTATCTATAGCCCTTACGTACCCTTGGAGCACAGCAGTACCGATAATGACTAAATACTATAAAAAAATTACTTTCAATAAGAATTACACATGTAATGTATATTGAATAAAAATTATTCTATTCTATTCTATTCTAATGCTACTTAGTGGCAGAAATAGGTAACAGTGTCAGAAAATAAATTCTAGAAAACCGACTATGTACCAGGATCCATGTCTTCAAACCTCATATGCTTTGGCACATCTCGTACTCAATCAAGTTGAAGGGGATTATAATAAGGATATCTCCTTAGCAATCCATTCCTCCCAAACTTATGACACGTTGTTTATCAAAAATTACAAAACACAAGCTTAATGCTCAAAACGCACCAACCTTCGATTGTATTAAGAACAACTGTCATTGTTAAATAAATAAAACTTTTTTATTATTTATATTTTATTTCTCTTAAAAATAAAAGGTACAAAAGGGTTGGACTTCACCTATGATTTGGCAAGGTGTTAATGTGTATGAAAAAAATTATAATATAACGTTGGAATCTGAATATACCAATATAATATCACAATATCATAAACATACCATAAGAAATGGTAACCAAAAAAAATTTTCTTGGACTTAAAATTTATTATTATTATATACATTTTACTCTTTACATTCATTTATAATTAAAGTTAATTTAGATTTTACAAAATGATGATGAATGTCATGGTCTTCTATCAATTTACGGTATAATGTTTATTTGAGATATTTCATTCAAATCGTTAGTCCTATTTAATATTGATTAGCAACATAAAATAGATGTAAATATTATTTTTACATTCGAGTAGAATTGAAAATTTCATAAATGCAATTCTATAATGATGTGTATACTACACATGGAATAAAACTAATGTTACGGATTTTATCACGTTTCATTTTAACTTTTTTTAAGCGGGAGTTTTATACGCATCTTTGGATGAAAGTTCCATAAAACCCGCGTAAAAGAACATATCGTTGATGTGAAGCACCGACGCTCCGGGAAGTCTAAAGTACGTCAACGTGTTTAGTATCGTCCCAAACATTAAATCGGATCTGATAGACAACAAATCTTTGAAATAGACCACCGATTTTAACCAATGATGATTCGCGAGGCTATTGAAATTAAAAAACATCCTAATTTTAATAAGGTGGCTGAGTGCTGTCATCTGCTAAGGACTCCATAATTAATTAAATTTAATTCAAACCCAAGCATACTACTGCATTTATTATATTCTATTCTATTCTAACTATGACACCAGGTCGTCAAACACCTCAGTCCTGGCAGCATCATCTTCCTGACAACAGATCAAAATAATAATAGCTGCGATTGTCAACCCGCCTACCAAGCGTGGCAACTATAGCAAATATCCAGCCACTTGACAATTTATGGTGTGTTCATTTCAGTGGACTTTTGATAGGCTGACGATAATGAGTTCTACTCATCCTTGCAACCCTTAATATTTACGGTAGAATGAAAACAAAAAAGTAACATACCCGAAAATCTGAATGAAATAAAAACTGCATATAATGAAAAGTAAAAATGTAGCAGCTTATATACATGTTACTACTGGCTATTATTTATTCTGTGCTACTGGTCGTAGACCGCAAAGAGTTTTTGGCCAAAAAAGTGTGATTCCAACGCGGGATGATCTCAACTGGGAAACTTCTCAGATATGCAGGTTTTCCTTCACCGTCGAAAACGTGGTAAATTGACACTTCAAATTGCAATTAAAATATATGATAATGCTTACGTATCAAGAAATTTAAGTTTGAATAAGTTTGATTACTGTCTTTGACAAGTAAAATAAAATGAACCTTTGTTTAAGTAAAATCTGCTTTCTTTAATTAAAGTATTTTTCTGAAGTGCCTGATCATTTACAGCTCATATGAGTTATTGTACAGTTCCCAAAAAATAGGCGCTAGCAGATAGGGTTCATGAAATGAAACTTAACTATCAATTAGCAGTAGAAGTCAAAAAGCATCGTATATTATGTAAGGAAACCTTATGTACTGTTTTCACCAAATCTTTACAACGTGATATAAATAACACAAGCTTTGGACAGCTAGAAAAATGAAAATAAACTAAATATTGTAAACAAAGTAATTGACAGATTTCATACATCCCACCCGCCATGTACAGAAACTATACATAAACACACGACACATATGTATTATGAATAAAAGAATTAATACATAAAGGTTTTAACATAAAGCTGTTAATAATAAGCTAAAATATTTCATAACAATTTACAATCGTTGAGTATTTTATTCAAATTAAAAAAATATTAGAATAATGCATTTCATTCAGTAAATAATAACAAACAAAACATCATAAGAATAATTATATTCACTCTGTATCGGCAAAACACAAATTTTGGATTCTGGTCTTTTAACAGTAACACTTTTGCATCGTAAAGACACCACACGGGTAACTCCATCCGAACCAGGATGTTTTGCTATAATTATTCCATAGACCCATCTAGCCGGAGGAAGATCGTCCTTCTTCACCAGCACAACATCTCTGTTTTTTGGGTCAGGAGTATGGCCTTTCTACTTATGGCGTTGTAGAAATTGTGTGAGATATTCACGAGACCATCTCTTCCAATAAATTTGTACCATACGTTGGGTGATCTGCCAACGTTTGAGCGAATTTATGTTAGAAGTTAAATAATTTTCATCTGGAACGAGGACCAATAGGTCTCCAACCAAGAAATGTCTCGGTGTTAGAGGGAATAGAGCAATGCACTTCCCTTGTTGCCTCAGCCAGGATCGGAATCCTCGGCGTCGGCATATCAAGTGATGTGCAGTTTCGTGGTCACTTGGAAGAGAAGGCCAAATTGGCCTCTAAAAAGCTTGGTGTGCTCAGCAGAGCGGGACAGTTTTTCATGCCGGCACAACGCCTGCAACTTTACAAGGCGCAGGTTCGGCCTCACATGGAATACTGTTCCCATCTCTGGGCTGGAGCTGTTCAGTGCCAGCTCCTTCCACTTGACCGCATCCACCGCAGAGCGGCTCGAATCGTCGACGACCGAATCCTTTCCGATCGGCTCGATTCATTGGCGCTGCGAAGAGATGTTGCATCTCTTTGCGTATTTTATCGCATTTACCACGGGGAGTGCTCTGAGGAATTGTTCGGATTAATCCCAGCCGCCAAATTTCTCGAACGCAGAACTCCCGATACCATCCACACCATCTGGATGATTGGCGGTCCACCACTGTGCGATTTAGAAGATGGTTTCTTCCTCGCACAACTTCCTTGTGGAATCGATTACCACCAGCGATTTTTCCGGACCGCTATGACTTAGGGACCTTCAAGAAAAGAGCATACTCCTTTTTAAAAGGCCGGCAACGCATCTGCAATTCCCCTGGTGTTGCAATTGTTCATGGGCGGCGGTAGTGACTTACCATCAGGTAAGCCGCATGCTCGTTTGCCCCCTCTCCTATAAAAAAAAACATTGATTACGACCGAAATGTGTGACAATCTCAGATACTCTATTACCCACAAAAGGCTTCCGTCTGCTCGGGTGACTGCTCAACCAAGCGAGCACCACTGTTGAGTCCGTCCAAGTGCGTACTCTATTAAGTGGTAAGCAGAGAGTCACTACCATTTCATATAACAGCTTAGAAAGTGCGTGTGTGTGTGCGCGTGCGTGTGCGTGTGCGTGTGCGTGTGCGTGTGCGTGTGCGTGTGCGTGTGCGTGTTCGTGTGCGTGTGCGTGTACGTTGCGTGTGCATGTGCGTGTGCGTGTGCGTGTGCATTTGCGTGTGCATTTGCTTGTGCGTATGCGTGTGCGTGTGCGAGTGCGTGTGCGTGTTCGTGTGCGTGTGCGTGTGCGTCTGCGTGTGCATGTGCGTGTGCGTGTGCGTGTACGTGTGCGTGTGCGTGTACGTTGCGTGTGCGTGTGCGTGTGCGTGTACATTTGCGTGTGCGTGTGCGTGTGCGTGTGCGTGTGCGAGTGAGTGTGCGAGTGCGTGTGCGTGTGCATGTGCGTGTGCGTTTGCGTGTGCGTGTGCTTGTGCGTGTGCGAGTGCGTGTGCCAGCCCACTCGCCAAGCGTGGTAACTACGACAATATACCCCCCATGATAATTGTTATGTAATTTTATTTAATTGTTTTCTATTGTAATAAACAAATATGTATGTATATATATTAATTATTTTATGGTGATCGGTAAGTATTTCTTTACATTCCCGATAATTAAGCCGGTGAAAGTTTAATTTATTTAAATAATTGTACATATATCTTGATTGGGCACTGTACAGTCTCTCAGCAAATTTAGATTTTACATAAATATGTTTAATGACATTGGTTCATATGGCGAGTTAGTATGTGTTTTTAAGATTGTCGGTAAAATATATAGTTGCCTAACCGTAAGAATGTCACATATATTATACAGTTGTTCGGTATTAAATCTAATAGGCTTAAAATAGAAGCGAACATTTAGTTATTATATCAGTAAGGCATAAAGTGATGTCAAATCTGTTAAAAGTTCTGTTTCTGTTAAAAATACGCTATCAGCGCCGCCAGCGGTGAAAAATGATTTAACGATATCGTCATGTAACCATATCACGAAATAGCAACGTTGTGTTTAGTTATTAATATCTTCAAACGATTTCTATTCATTGATTTGGTCAAGCTATATCATGATATGGTCAACAAACAGTGTTAAATATCATGAAATGACCACACCATTTCACGAAATGATAGATTACTTTATGGTATATGATCTATTCTACGATCTGGCTACGACATATATAAAAATATCATTAATAAAACTATAAGAATAATTAAAATTTTGCAATAATTGAAGACTGACCAGTTTTAATCAGTTTAGTCTATACTATTAATTGAAATAAAAACCTTATCAATTTTTATATTTTTGATATACGTCACTATTATCTATTGTAATTATTGCACTTTTAAAATAAAATAACATAAATACTAAAAAACTAAACGTTAGAATTTTTAAATAATTTTAGAAATCTAATTATTTAAACATATGAATGTAAGTAATTAGATTATTAAATTTATTAGTAAATGAAGGCAAAATATACTACTATTTCCATTTGATGATAGATGGCGCTGTTTTTATAACTAAATCGGTGTAGTTTCACATTTTTTTACCAAGGTTATAACTATATTTTAAAGTTTATTTATAAATATGGTATTTATTTGAGGCCTAAAACTAAGATATAATAGAAAATTAACATCTAAAGGAAAGAAATACTTTACCTCCTTTTTTTAAGTTCTTTTTTTAATCGGATAAAAAGTATCCTATAAGTTGCCCCGTATTACTAATTATCTACGTACAAAATTTCATGTAAATCAGTCCAGTAGTTTTTGCGTGAAACCGGAATAAATACCACTATTTTGGCTTCAGAACCCTTTATTAAGTCAATGTTAGACGACCCTCACCAGCGTAGTGAGGAACTGTTGAAACGGGAAAGTTCAGAACCGTGCTTTGTGGCAATTCATTGGGGACCTCCCCAATGAATTGCCACAAAGCACGGTACGTTCATCTGTGTACTGTTAATAATACATACAACATGCTTATATACGTAAATAAATATATACACATACAAAATGAATGCACAATAGCATAGAATAAATAATTACCAACACCAGAAAGTGCAGTTGCTGGGAAGACTACGCTCGAACTCGAAGCTATTGACAAGTATGATTACGTAGGAAAATTCGGATAGGTAGATAATTTTGTCTTTTATCTTACCATAGCCCTACATAGTCTAGATCCTCATATTTCAACATTTATATATTTATGAAGTATTTGACACCTATTATAATGCCCTACAAGACATAGGAAATGAATTCATCCTTGGCTAAGGAGTTTTTCAACAATATAAATCAAAATAAAACAATCATACTTTGGTTTTCATTTTATGTTTGCCGAGTGGTGGCCATATTATATTACTGAAGGGGTTTATGAACAGAATATTTTCACAACAGAAATTTTGTTTCTTAGGGTGTTACCACACCCATCGATCGGTCGTCGATCGATGGCTTCGATCGATGGTGAAATGGATTTGTCGACGTCGATCGATAGTTTCTACCACACCGATCGGTCGATGGTAGAATGGATTAGTCGACTTCAATCGAGCTGCTTGATTCGAGAACCCACCCTGCACCACCGATCGCTATTTAAAATGTCGTCTCGATGAATTTAAGCTATCTCTGGCCTTAAAAGCGGTCGCATCCAGAGTCATCTGCGGTTAAGTTAGAGTCGTCTCCGTAATAATAATACAACCAAGAGCATACTGGCCAACAATAACGCTTCCTCTTCTGAATACATTTTGAAAGCTACTGATGATGAGCCCACAACCACATCGATTAATTGTCGATCGATGATTGAACAACGTTTTATCGACCAGTATCCATCGATCAGCTAAAGCTACCACACCAATCGATCGACATTTATCGACGTCAACCAATAGCATCAATCGACGATTGATCGATTGGTTATAGTAACATCCTTAGACAAAACCTCTTTCACTAGCACATCATAGCAAATATAAACCAAGACATATCTAAAACAAACTAATTTCAATATAACATTTTCACATTTTCATAACTCTTACCGTAAAAGTCAATCCAATCTTACCAAACTTCGCAAACGTTCTTGCTCAGGTTTTATAGTAGTTGCTGCGTGCGTTATGACATTCGAAGCAAGGGACAGTGCCGCCAAGGTAACACCAGCACGGCCACAAGCATTACCAAGGCCTATACCTCGCCGTGGGCCCGTCTGTGCCCCTGCGCGCCTGGATCAGCTCGGTGTCTACCGCCTGCCACACGCATTGCCGCTACCACTACCCCATGCATTGCCGCTACCTCCTACACACAGAACGCGTCCTGTGTATCCTTGCTCGAGGTATGTACAGAATACTTCATATTTAAATAAAATATATTCAAAAGAACTAAAATCCAATTGATGAAAATTAAAAAGCAAAAAGCTTACTAATCCTTTGACCTAATTATGAAAGCTCATACTTCACAAAAATCATTTAAACGTCGCTGTTAACCCAGCTTATAGCAGTAGAAACATCATTACTTCATTTTAGTATTCGAAATTGTTGTGCGTTGTAACAAGTATTATCCAAATGATATCATCATTCCATGTCATTAACAATGAAATAGAGTTGCCAGGAATGTGGGCGCAGCAATCATGCGATTCCTGCGAAGAGATAGGGCAGTTAATGTGTGTAACACAGAGCGAGTGAAAAAACCAAGGAGCGAGCACGTTTCGGCTCAGCGCCAGATCTGCGTAGCGGCAACGCGCGACCGACTCTACCGGTGAGCGCGCTACGAAGGCCGCTACGCCGCTACGCGCTTTCCGTAGACGAGCCGCCGCAATCAGCAGTAAGGTACTAAATAGCTAGTTATCACTCATTTAAATTCAATACTGTTCCTCAGGCTTGCCTCATACAATTAGCATACTTTGTATAGCTTTAACGTTCTTTAAGTATCTGAATTTTAACATATTATCCCTTTAACATATTCCTACGAAAAAACATTGAAGTATTGTGATGGCTATTCTTACATATTATATTTTTTTTTCTTTACAAATTATTAAAGCCAATATTACATATTTATTAATAAATTCAAAATTGTTTTTTCTAATGATCGAATATAATAATTATGATTCACGATTTTTATAAAACAAAATTTGCTTTTTATTTAAATTTAAATTTTAGTAAAATGTATTCTAAATAGTATTATTATTATAAAAAAGAAATAAGTGAAAAAGACTTAAATTAAGAAGCTATTAAATACATACATATAAATATGAAGTACCATAAGTATTCATATTATAGGTAATCAGAATAAAGTGATAAAAAATACGGTTCCACTTAGTTTGTGCGTAGAGAGGAATGGTGAAGACCACCAAAAGTAGGCTTGAGACAGGAGGCTCATCAAGCATGCATACAGGACTGGTTGGACGAAGCAGTTGTGTACGCTTAATGCTGTACGCCCCACTACCGCATTGCATTGTTTAGCTCCATCACACATCTTCCTCACTTCATACATCCCACAGCTACACTGCGCATCTTAGTGGATAAAGACAATTTCTTCCAGGTTGGTTTCACTCTAATGCACCGCTCATTTACCTCGCACATCCCAAGCGTGCGGATTAAATAAGTTTATTATAAAACTTAAGGTAAACGCCCGATTATTATCTCATCATCTTTTTGACGCTGGGCCGATTTCATAGCTGAAAATGTACGTAAACAGTTCAATAAATACTTAGTTTAAGCGTTTAACCAAGTTCAGGGCTACAATATTGAATTTTACCAACCTCAACTGAACGTAGTTAAAGCAAAAACGTGGTTAAAATTTTAAACGCCAATTTTTCTACATTTATCACCTTTAAACGCGTTTAGCTGTCAATGCTGTCATTGATTAGGTACTTGTGGAGTTTTTTCTAATTCTAATTTTATATAGTTTAGCTAGTGTCAATGAAATTTACATACTGATGTATAATCATTGGCTATTATCAATAAATAGCAATTAAAAGAGCGTTGGCACTAGCATTAAACTGCATAAAGACGCAGCTTACAAAGTAATATAAATCAGTGATCGCAGCATATAGCTGTTTTATGTTGATAATATTCTGCAAATAAGAAATATATTGAGCTTTTGTCTATGATTGTGACATTTTCATTACACATTAGTTTTCGTAAACGCGATCGAAATCGAATTGTTGAAATCTTTTTGATGAAAACCGAGATAAAATTTGAACTCAGTTAAGCAAATTGTGATATTATCAAACTTGTTTTACTGAGCAAACCGTGAAATTAGCAATGTATTTCGTTTTTCTTATTATATAAATTGTAACTGTAGATAAGGAACCATTTATAACGTATATAAGAATCCATTACCGCATTTCGTCCTGTGGGTGTCGTAAGAGGTGGCTAAGGAGAGCTTCAAAAAGATCTTATGTCTCTCGATAGATGGCGGTATTATTATCTTCTTACGCCCAGCGTAAAATACCCAGATTGGCTACAGTTAACCGTGGTTGATCTTTTTGGTATGCACTTTCACAGAGCAAATTCAATTTTATTTTATTTTTTAGAATAAGGGTGACGAACGAGTACAGAGTTCATCTGATGTTAAGTGAAATCAATCGTGTAGCCCATAAAGATCTACATCTATCCTCAATTGAGAATCAAAATACAAATGGAATACCTCGTTTCTAGTAAAAAGGATTCCTTATAAGTGTTTCATTACGTGGTGAAGACACGCTGTAGCTATATTATGGTTGCAGCTCGAATGGGTCGGCTAGACCGGGAGGGATAAAGTTGTCAATATCAGCGTATGTTGCTTGCTGTGTTTTGTATGTGCTTTGTCAGTGAGTGTAAAGAATCGGAGACCCTTTTTCTAATATCGACTGTGTGCTCATTTTTTACAATAATGCCCAAATACTCGATTATAAGATGCCGTTAAGTCGCGTGCTGTCTCTATCATCTATCATCTTAACTCAAAGTGACTGTGACACCACGAGACTTTTAAGTAATGTTTGGTTATTAGGCCATAATTCTATAAAAATATAAAAGTCATACCATTAAGTTATCACTTCCATGTACAAATGACTTACCTTTATAATTTTCTGTTTAAAAAAAATTTAATACTTTAAAAATTAAAAACTTTTAATTTTACTGTTTCGCATAATAGCTGGTGAAATGCGTAACATGTATAAAAGTATAAATTATTAATTCAACTTTAATGACTTATAAATTAATATATCATATATATCATGAAGTGCTCATACTCTGGCTGAACTTTGTTAATATGAGTACTCAGTAAACATTATTAATTCATGTCGCAATTTAAAAAAAGTCTTATTAGCGTCTTTCCTCAGGATACCCACTTACTTTGGCATGCAAAGCGAGCGTTATTATGCTTAGCATCCACTTCACCGTGTAATTTAGCAAACAGCTTACTTTGCTTTTAATATTTTTGTTTCAAAATTTGATTAGTACGAATATTTTATTCAGTATGATATTTCAAACGAAATTAAACAAGTTAATTTTCACTTTATATTATTTTCCTTATTACTTTTCTTCCTCTCCTATTTTAGAATAAATTGAATAACTGAGGGCTGATTTTTCAATTATTAGATAAAAGTTATTTATCGTACAAAATACAATATAAACAAATTAAATATTAAGATTTTATGAATAAATTAGTGTAATTGTTTCATTTTTATATTTGGCTATAATTAAGTTGATGGATAACTGTTATGTGACTATTGAAACATCAGCTCTTAAGCATGCTGTGAAATTTTATTTATTTCTTGAAATTTTATATAATATATTTATCGTCATCATCATTCATCCCCCAAGGAATGCCACAAAGCACAGTCTTGAGCCACCTGCATCCATCTACATTCTGCGTGTCTTACCAGGTCGTCACTCCATCTAGTGGCTTTTATATATTATTTTTTATATATTATTATACAATTATCAAAGGTAAAGTATTTTATATCAACACATTTGAAAACAAAAATATAGAAACAGGGTACATTTAAAATTCAACACCATCACATTTAAATCTATCAAGTTGTATATTTTTGGTGGTAAGAATTATCGAAGTATTACAAATGTCAAAAGTCCGAAAGCTTATCTCAAATATTAGAAGACCTAAACTTACCCGGTCCCAATTAAAAGAGTCCAGTTGAAAGTTGTCATATTGATTCCAGCAAAAGCGAATATAAAAAGGGGCCAAGTTCGGTACGAACGACTTTCCGGTTTGTCGGCTTAGCCGATAAAAGTGTTGCAATCTGAAACGGTTCCAATCTGCCAATTCGGTCCGTTCGTGCGTTCTTGAAACTTTTGAATAAAGTTTTATCCCTTTCTTACAAATAATTACATGACCTCAACGTTTTTTCTTTCGTTTGCGCTTCAAAGTTTTCTATTTTTAATTAAAACTAAAAGAATTAAATATTGACAATGTTATTCGTGTGGTTGGTTTTAAGTACGGTACTCGTAACTAAGCGCACCGATAACTCCCGTATGTCAACACCGAATCGTAATAATTTGCAGTTTTGAGAATTATTCCTTTGTATTACTCTAATATAAACTGTGTAGTGGCGGTGTAAGAATATCCGCTACCCGTATCGTCCCGGGGGTGTCGTAAGAAGTGACAACGCATCTTTAGCCTTCTTTGTTTCTAGATGGCTGCAGTAGTCCATCGGCTGCAGAAACCACTTACCAGCAGGTGGACTGTAAACTCGTTTATCACTACAGTTTTAATAAATAAAAATTAAACTTGGATGTCAAATTTTAAGTTTCTAAGTAACAAAGAAGTAACAGAAGTTTTTTATAAGTAAGTCAGTGATATAAATGACCCTTTTCAGTCCTTAGTAATTCAAAAACCATGCTTTTTACGAAATTTGAGATTCTAGGTATTCTAAGAGACTTATCTATACATATAATAAATCTATAGGAAAGTCGTGTCTGTAATTCTAATATTTTGTGGAAAAAACAAGTCCAGGGGACTAAATAACGGGCACTGAAGCCAAATTAGTGGTTTTTAAAACTTTTGTCTGTCTGTCTGTCTGTGTATTCCCGATTCACGCAAAACCTACAGGACATATTTTCATGAAATTTTGTGTGTAGGTAATTAGGTATACGGGGCAACTTATAGGATACTTTTTATTCGATTGCGGAGCTTCAAAAAAGGAGGGTAAAGTATTTTCCTCCCTCAAGGTGTTAATTTCTATTTTATTTTATTGATTATTGATGCGTTTTTAAATAAATAACATATTTATAAGTAAATCCTAAAATTAGTTTTAACCGTTGCGTAATAATTTGAATTACGTCGATCTACGTTTCACTTTATCGAAACAGTGCCATCTAACGTTAAATTAAAAAAGTAGTAACATTTTACCTTTAGTTAGTAATAAATAAAATTAAAATAGTTAACTTACATTTATATGTTTAAATAATTTCATTCTTAATAAATTGAAAATTATAATGTGTATTTTTTAGTTCTTTCCTTATTTTTACATCTACATCTCATAGACACATCTATCGAAAATCATAAAATGTGAGATATTTCTGAGTTTGATTTCTAATCTATTAAAAAGTTTTATTTATCTATAAATAAACTGATAAAAACTGTAATTATTGCAAAACTCTCATTATCCACATCGTTTAAATAAAGATATTTTTATATATGGCCAGATCTTAGAATTGATAATATCATAAAGTGGTCGATTATGGCACGAAATGGTGACATTTAATTAAATTTAACATTGCTTTTGACTATATCATGTACAGTAGGGCTACGATGGCTATCCGAGTACAGAATCAGAGTACGAAACCTATCCAATTGCAGAGAGGTGTAAGACAGGGTGACGTCA